CTTTGCGGACTGGGGAATTCCTGCCCCACGGGGCTGTTTCTGGAGAAGTCTCAGACAAGCTGCTCTCTTCACTTCCGGATCATTCGCCAGTCTTTTCCACCTCCCCACCAGCTACCTTGCCCCACCCCCATGACTTCTGAGCTCCTCTTTATGTTTTTTGTCCGTATTACAATGTAATCTCCTTGAAAGTAGGAATTACCTTGTTTTCTTCTGTTTGTGTCCCCAAAAGTTAGCAGTGTACCCGCTACACATTCATACTTAATAAATGCGCTGTCCTGCTGAGTCTTTCTCTCTCTGACTCTGTCTCTCCATCTCTGTCCCTCCCTCTCTCCCCCTCCATCCCTCTCTCTCTCTCTCCTTCTCTCTCCCTCTCCCTTCTCTCTCCCCCTCCCTCTCTTTCTCTCCCTCCCTCTCTGTCTCTCCCTCCCTTCCCCTCCCTCTCAGTCTCTCCCTCCTTCTCTCTCCCTTCTTCCTTCTCTCTCTCCCTCGCTCTCTGTCTCTCCCTCTCTCTCCCTCCCTTCCTCTCTGTCTCTCCCTTCCTCCCCCTTCCTCCCTCTCTCTCCCTCCCTCTCTTTCTCTCCCTCTGTCTCCCTCCCTCTCTCTCCCACCCTTTCTGTCTCTCCCTCCCTCCCTCTCCCTCCCTCTCTCTCTCCTTCCTTCCTTGCCTTTCCTCCTCAGAGCCCAAGTGACTTCCCCAAAGGCCACACAGGTAGTAGAGTCATATGATCATAGATCACAGATTGAGGTGTCCCTCATGCCCATTGTCCTCACTTTGCAGAGGAAGAAATAGTTTGGGATGGACCCCAGGTCATCGGAGTCCAGACCCGGGGCTCTGAACAGCATGGCATGGAGCTGGTAGTTGGGGCAGCTCCTTGTCAGCCCTGGCCTAGCTCCCAAAAGGATTATCAGCCGTGAGTTCTACTCAGTGAGCTACCTGGCTGCTCTTCCTTATGACTTCTTGCCTTGCCCTGGGCATCTCTCCATGAACCGCTGGGAGGCAGGTCTCTGAGATTAATGAGTATCTGGCTCTTTTTATGGAAGGAACTTTGAACCCAGTCCTGTGATGATCAGAGTCTGTTAGTATGCCCTTATCAGGCTGTGACTGATTGACCAACCTAAATGACCTCTTCCCCTCTGTCTCATCTCAATCAGAGACATAGGGACTGAGCAATGCCCCAGGGGGCCACTGGCAGGCCTAAGGCAGAGACCTGGCTTTCAGGATAGCAGTGTGACCTTGGGCAAGCCACCATCATCCCTGAGCCTTCAGCGTTCCCATCAGCAAAATTGATTAGCGATAGGATGGTGCCAGGCTTTGGAGCAGCAAGGGAACATAGAGGCTGTCTAATCCAACACCCTTCTTTTCAGAAGAGGAAACTGAGGCCTAGTGAAGTCAAGTGATTCCCCCAAGGTCATGTTCTCTAAAGGCCTTGCCACCTCTGATCTTCTGTCCTGTGAGAAGGAAAGAGAGAGGAAGAAGGACAAGAAGAGAAGGAGGCAGCTGCCTCACAGTGTTGTTACGGGAAAAGCTCCCTATAAATCCTGAAGCACCGGAGAAATGGAAGTTATTCTTGAAAGAAAGAAAGAAAGAAAGAAAGAAAGGAAGGAAGGAAGGAAGGAAGGAAGGAAGGAAGGAAGGAAGGAAGGAGGGGAGGGAGGGAGGGAGGGAAGAAAGGAAGGAAGAAAGAAAGAAAGAAAGAAAGAAAGAAAGAAAGAAAGAAAGAAAGAAGAAAGAAGAAAGAAAGAAAGAAAGAAAGAAAGGACATCTTCTGGACTAATTCTTTAAAAAGTTTTATTGAGGTCTTTAGGTATTTCCTGATGTGTTTCCCCTCAGCCCTGTTGAACTCTCCCTTGTAACTAAGGAAAGGACCTAATGCTTAAGCTGGGTCTTGAAGGGAGTGAGGGGTTCTAGGAGGCTGAGTGAGATGAGGACATTCCAAGTCTGGGGGAGATCTGTGCTGAGGTGGGAGATGGAAGGCTGTCTGTGGGGAGCCTCCATAGACCAGCTGAGCTGTGATATTGACTGTGAAAAAGGTGCTGGGAATCACTCTGGCAAGATACACAATCTCTTTTTTATCCTTGCATCAATACAGAGCCATTGAAGGTTCTTGAGCACCAGAGCAGTATTGGTTTGGCAGCTCTGTGGATGATGGATTGGAGATGCAGCTCTAGAGGGAAGGAGATGGGCAGCTAGGTGGTGCCAGAATGCATAGAGGACCGGGCCTGGAGTCAGGAAGACATCAGTTCAAATCTGGCCTCAGACACTTCCTAGCTGTGTGACCCTGAGCAAGTCACTTACCCCTGTTTGCCTCAGTTTCCTCATCTGTAAAATAAGCTAGACAAGGAAATGGCAAACCCCTCCCTTATCTCTGCCAAGAAAACCCCAAGTGGAGTCACAGACACTACTGAAATAACTAGCAATATGTTCGGGTATAATGCTAAGCGCTGTGCTGATGGGAGGACATATTGACGAGATGTGGCAATCAACTTGATATAGGAGGTGAGGAAGAGTGAAAAGTTCTGAACTAACTGGAAAGATGGTGGTGCCCTTCCCAGAATGAGGAGACTTGGGAGGAGTGGCGAGCTTAAGAGAAGAAATAAAGGGTCCCTTTTGGGGCAAGTTGAATTTTAGATGCCAACAGGACATCCAGGTAGAGATTTCCAGAAGTCATTTGATGAATGTGGAACTGGAGGTCAGGAGAAAGCAGAAGACTGGCTATGTGGATTTGAGATCCATCAGCATAGAGATAATAATTAAACTGATGGAAGCTCATGAGATTCTCAAAAGAGATAATATGGAAGAAGAGGCCCCAGGACAGAGATCTGGGACACACCCATGCTAGGGGTGGGACATGGATGATTATGCTACAAAGGAGATTGAGAAGGAACCAATCAGTTTTAGAAGGGACTGCTGCAGTCATTGAGTCCAGTCCACAGACTAATGGAATCCCCATCATAAAATCACTGACAAGGGGCCATCCAGCCACTGCCCAAAGACTTCCAAGGAAGAAGCCAGCCCAACATCATTCACTTTTTCCCTTAATTCCAACCTATTTCTGCCTGGAGATCTTCTTTGTCACATGAAGAACCACAGAATGGCAGAACTGACAGGGCTTTGGAAACAGACCACTTTCCAAAAGAGGCAACATGGACTTATGGAAAGGAAATGACCTCCCTAAGGCCACAGGGCCAGGCAGTGGCAGGGCTGGGTCTGGACCTTTCGCTCCTTTCTGGCCCAGGACCTTCCCCTTTCTCTTCTTCCCTTCCTCCCTTTCATGGAAGTAGAGAGTGCCAGGTGTCTAGTCTCCACAGCATACCCAGGTTTTTTGTTTCATTAAGATTCTGCGATTGTAACTTGAATAACCAGGATCACATTGCTGGAAGGGAAGCAGTTGATGAAGGGCTTTGGGCTGCCATTTTGGGCAAGAAAAAAGAGCTATTTGCCTCTTCCCCATGCGGCTTGAAAAAACATAGCAGCTTCTTGCAGCAACTGGAACTGTGATTGGCCATTGCATTGATCAGAGTCATAAGTCTTTCAGAATTGTCTTTACAATATTATCATAAGTTCTGTTTCTGCTCACTTCACTCTATCAGTTCATCCAAGTTTTCCTAGGTTTCTCTAAAACCATCCCTTTCGTCATTTCTTAGGGTGTGATAGTTTCCAGTTCTTTTCTATAATAAAAAGAGCTGCTACAAATATTTTTATACATATGAATAATCCTTTTCCTCCTTCTTTGATCACTTTGGCAACTTCTCATTTTCTGGTAAAGAAACTGAGGCCCAGAGAGTTTAAGTGACTTTCAGTTATCCTGCCCCCTTTCCAGGAGAAATATTATATGTATATGTGAATGCTCTATCTCCTCCTTAGCACTGGACTTAAGAGTTGGGGCTCAGTCCCTTACTAGCTACAGGACCTTGGACAAGTCCCCTCCATCCCCTGGGCCTCATTTGTCTCCTCTGTAACGTGGGAGGGGTGGGGTGGAGTTTGGACTTCGTGACCCTTAAGATCTCTTCCAGCCCTAGAGCCTGTGGCCTCTCCAAATCCTGCCCCTGGTTGCCTCCAAATCCAAATCCTGTTCAGGGAACAGCCCTCACACTGCATCTCCCATTGGTGCCTATTCCAAACTCCCATGTTCCTTGTTTGGGCTCTTCTTCTCCCATTTAATCCTTTTCCTACCAAAATGAGTCATGTTTATATCTTTTCTCCCTGCATGGACTTTGAACTCCTCAAGGACAGGGTTAAGCTCATCTCTTACCTCTTTGTTTCTACCACAGTGTTCAAGTGCTTAATAAATATTTGTCCATTAAATTTTGTCCAATAAATCTCCTGCCAAGAGGCAATAGACTGGAGACAGTAGAAGACCTGGTATGGAGTGCTGGCAGGGAGAAGAACTAGCCATGTGAACCAAGACAGTCTCTCTTATCCTCATTTTTCATGTCAATGAAAGGAGACGGATTGGACTTGGGACTTCCCAGGGCTGACCTTCCTCTAGCTCTCATTGGTATGGAAAAGTTTTTTAAAAACCCAAATATGTTTTGCATGACTTCATGTGTATAATTGCTGTGCTATGTCTTGCCTTCTCACTGGTTGGGGGATGGGCTGGAAGGAGGGAGAGAATTTGGAGTTCAAAAGTTTTAAAAATGAATGTTCAAAAAAAAATTCCAGTCTATATGGGCTTCTTTGCAATTCCACTCATTGCTTCTGGTTTTGTTCTCGGAGGACAAACAAGAAGAAGCCTGTTCCTTCTTCCCTGTGGTAGGTCTTCAGATACTTGGAAGACAACTACCTTCAAGTTTTCTCTAGGCGGAGTTCACCAGTTCCTTCAGCCCCTCCTCCTGTGCTGGAACCAAGGCCTTCACCAACATGGCTGCCCTCTCCTGGAATATTAACTCTAGGGAATGTGGCCCTAAAGATTCTGCCTCCAAACCCAACCCCAGAGGAGACACTAATGTTCTACCTTTTATTGGAGAAAGCCATAAGACAAGAGGGACCTGTGGAGAGAATCAGTTCATCTTTTGAGGTGCTAGGCTCTGAAGACTTCACTTCTCTTAAACCCCTTCTCCACCCAAATACCAATGGGATGGAGATGTAGTGGATAGAGTGGATTCTGCTAAGGGAACTGTCCGAAACATTTCGTCTTAGATTTGCCGTCCTTCATGCCACATAGACTTCATCTCCCCTATGCCTGTGATGGGGCAGTTGTATGATGGGGCCATGAGGGTTTCTAAGGATCAGCAGCCAGGGTTATAAGCTCAGCTCAGAAGCAAGTGCCTCACGTTAGAAATATGTCCAGACCCCTCCTGCCCACTGGTGGCAGCTGATGTGGCAGGGGCCCTGGCATTGCTGTGGTGCTCTCCTTCCTAGAGTCAACAAGGGGAAAGACCAGGCGTGGTGGCATCTGCCTATCATCCCTTACTCCTGGGGAATCTGAAGCTGGTGAATCTCTTGAGCTGCAGTGGAGCTAAAGCTGATTGGGCACCTTCACCAAGTCCCACACAAGTGTGGGGAGCCCTGGTAGGGGAGGAGGGTAGGCAACCCTTTAAATTATGCTGGACTGCCTAGGGAGGAGTGAACTGACCCAGGGCAGAAATGGAGCAGGCCAAAGCTTCTGGACCCATCAGTGGTGGGGTCAGCAGGATAGGGAGGACCAGTATCCAAAAAAACAAAGAATGAAGACCAAGGGGGAGAGGTGGAGAGGCCAAGGAAGACTGGGGCCAGGACACAGTGCCTGGAGCTTATACGCAGGTACAGAAAGTCCTAGTTACCCCACTTTCCCACCCTTCCTGCTTCCTCCTTTATTCAGGTGAGGCTTCCTCAATGACAAACACAAGGAAGGAGGACAGAGTGCCATAGTGAGGGACAGCCTCTTGTCTCTGGTTAGTCAGGGGTTTGCCCCTTCTTTCTTGTCATCACGAGCTATGTCTTCATAGGCTGGAGGAGGAGCAGCTGGGTCATCTGGGTGCACTGGAGGTGATGAGCCAATGGAGTCCTCCTTCACCTGAGAAAGAGAGTAGGCAAGGTCAGTGCAGTGATGCTATCCACCACCTCCGTTCTTGGGTGGTGATACCATGGGAAGGAAGGAAGCAGAGGAGGACTCGGGATCATTGATCTACAGCTGAGGGGACTGGAGAGGCCCGCTGGTCCAAGCCCTTCCTTTTACAGAACAGGAAACAGTGGGTGAATTGCTCAAGGTCACACAGAGTAAGCATCAGAAGGAGGGATTTGAATTCTGGTCCTCTGACCTCAAGTCTGCTGCTCTTTTGGCTGCACTCTATCTCCCACCTTCCCATTTCACAGAAGAGGAAACTGAGGCCCAAGACCACACAGGTAGTAAGTGGCAGGGCAAGAATTTAAATTCAGGTCCTCTGCCCAGAGATCAGCCACTGTGATGCCTCCCTCAAGAACCCCCCTGGATTCTCATCCAGATTCTGCCACAGATGAGTACCTCGGGCAAGTGACTTCTCTTCTCTGGGCCTCTATTTTCTCCTTTGTAAAAGGATGGTCACTAGAGGGCCCTTGAGTAGTTGATGTTAGAAACTGTTGACATTGGGTGGTCTCTGAGATTCCTTCAAGTTCAGAAGGAGTCAATCAGTCCACTGTTCTCCATCAGTGTCTCTGTCTCCATGACATCCTTTGCTAGACTCTCCCTTCTTCCATCTTCCTCCTAATCATCTCCTGCCAAGTCTTCCATTGCTAAAGTAAAAGTTACACTCGTGCATCCTAACCCAGGGTGTCTACCTGGAAGGCTATGGAAGTAATCAGCAATTCTGGGGTCAAAGTCCAGGAAACAGCCTGGTACCATGGTAAGATGTCCCAGTCTTATCTGGAGAAGTTATGAGATCATAAATCTAGAACTGTAAAGGACCTCAGAGGTCACTGAATCCACCCCTCTCCTTTTATAGATGAGGAAACTGAGGCATACAGGGTAAGTGACTTGCCCAGGGTTGCATAGCTAAGTAAGTCAAAGGGGTAATATCTAAAACTGATCTGCCAACCTTAGAGCACTATATCAATACTAGTTATTATTATGATTATTATTATCATAGCAATGCTAGCTATTACTTTTGTTGTAGTTGTTGTCTAAGGTGAGATCTGAGCCCAAGTCTTCCTGACTCTCGTTCCTGTCCCTGATCCTCTGGGCCCCTGTGATGTTATCATGCTGGCTTTTTGGCTGCTGTCTCCCACAGTGGACTCATCCTGAATTTTCAGAGCCCCACGTATGATTGCCCCCTGTCGGGCACAGTGGAACTCACCTCTGATGACAGCTCCATCTTGTACAATAAACTCATGGTACAGATGAATGCAAAGACCTCAAGGCTAGAGAAGACCAGCAATCCCAATTCAAGCCTCTGCAGGTGCACCTGAAACAAGAAACAGCACCCTTGCCGTCCCAACTTAGGACCTGCAAAGCGCTTTCCTCACCACGACCCTGGGAGCGACATCCATTGTTGTGGATGTCGGCACCATCCCCTTTCATGGATGAGAAAACTGAGGCACGGAGAGGGAAGTGACTTGCCCAGGGCCATGCAGCTAGAGGGTCTCAGAGCAGGGACTCGCACTCATGCCTCCTGATGCCAGTGAGGCAGAGTCAGAGGGGTGGGGCTGCGGGATGCCTATAGTGCAGCTGACTCACAACATTGGGCTGGGCTCAGTCAGGGAAGAGCGAGGACACGGCTCAGTGTTTGTTTTTTAAACCTGGGGAGGGTATAGATGGAGAGAAGCAGGAACTCTCCCTGCCTGTCTTGGTTGAATTTAACGTTTCTGCAGAAAATTAAGGCAAGTTCAGAGCCCCAGGAAGGGGACTTAGAGTCCTGCTGATTCATCATTGTCGAGGGTGCAGGGTTTCACGTGAGACTCGTCTCCTGATCTTCGTGTATGTCTGTTCACGGTGAAAAGTTCATGATTAAAAAGAAATGGAATGAGTTTAATGCGTTCCATGTGCAAGCCAGGAGGGGCTCCCTAGAACCTCCAAGTGAACACAGATCTCCAAGCCAAGAATGTCCTGTTGCTGTACCCCAAAGGGTAATGAAGCATGTGGCCAGGGGACTGACCCGAACTTTTGAGGGCGATGAGGAAGAGGGAGCAACAGTAGCCTGGAAACTTGGGAATATGCTCATCCTGGTTGAACGTTACTGTGGCTTACCTAACAGAACTGGGGAACAGGATAAAGAAAGGAAAAAAACCCCAGCCAACTGGAATTCCTAGTGTTTCAGTCAGAGCTTGGACTGCCAAAGATCACAGACCCAGAGCTGGAAAGGACCTCAGAGGTCGTCAAGCCCAACTCCTTCATTTTACAGATGAGGAAACTGAGGCACAGGAAGGTTCAGAGGCCATCTAGTCCAAGATTAAGTGACCTGCCCAAAGTCACACACTTACTAAATTGGCATAGTGGTCTAGTGAGATAAGTCAGACGACCTGGGTTCAAATTCCACCCCTGATACTTCCTGAATGAGGAGGAGTAGATGATGTCTAAGGTCATTTGTTGCTCTGACATTCTGTGATACCAGGAATGATGATGTTGGCTTTGGGTCTCCTGGCCCTTCTCCCCAAGAAAAAGCCCAGAGCAGCACAGATCCAGGGTCCCCAGATCTCATGCTCCCTCTAAGCTCAGCTGACTTCCTGTTTCTGGAGGAGGTACACTCACCATGGAGAAGGGATAAGGCCTCCAGATTGGGGATTCAAAGGAACGCTCCCAAAATAAATCCTTAATGAACATAAAGATCCCACACAGTGCGCAGAAGCAGTCCACGATGCTCACAGTCACGGTCAAAGTCTTCTGCAAGGGAAAAAAAAACACAGCCCATGTTAGGAAGTCAAAGAGCTGGAGGCTTGGCTTCTGCTCCAGATCCTGCCTGGGCCTTTCTTCCCCTGTTTGTAGATGGAAGATGTTGGATACATGATCACCGAGGCCTCTCCCAGCTCCACCATTCCACATTCTAGGTTCTGCCATCTTCCCAGCTCTGGCGTCCTTAGATTCATAGTCATAGGTTACCAAAATCTCCTCCCTTTCCAGGGTGATGTGCCTCGTAGATTGCGTGAAATGGACAGAGGAGGGGAAGAGGGAAGCGTCAGCAAGTCTGAGCATTCCCACATCTCTCTTCTAACTGGTTTCCAGCTCCATACTCCCAGCCGACCTCATCGATGGGCCAGAGGAGTTTGAGCCACATTGGAATGTGGCTAGCAAACCAGCTCCCTTTCACATGCACACAACATAACCTGGGGCTGGCTTTACCGAGAGACACCGTGGATGAATGGAAAGGACCTGCCCTATCCCGAAAAGATTTCGTTCCTCAGCCTGCTATACCGCTTCTATTGGAGAGACCTTCCTTTAGGTTAAGAACTTCCTTTGTGCCCTACTGCAAGGGTCGTTTATTTAAAGATTTCATTTAAAGGCCCCAAGCTTCATTTAGGCATTGCCACTTTAGTGGGGCTGAGTCCCTTACTTTTCTGGGGTAAGAACACAGGAAGAGGAGGCTAGGTACTGATGTGTGACCAGTGCACCAACCACATTCTTCACGGTCTTGCCCAGGGCAGGGGGCATGTTGTACTTTTCTGGTAGAATGGCGCGTCAGGCCTCCTTCCACCATCCTATGCCCATTTTAGGTAACTGCGTACAGATGCTCCCTTGGGAGAGGAGGAGGCTAAATCCAAGCAAAGCAAGCATTGTCTGGGCCAGATGAAGTATGGGAGGCCCTCCTGTACTCTCTGGTCACTTGGGGCTCATCTTCGTTTGGAAATCACTCAAGGCTTGGAAAGGAACTCACCAGCTTCATCTTCCTTCCTCTCTCCATGGTTATCAGCAAGGCCCCTGAACAGAGGAACTGTGGACCAGATTGGAAACAACAGGGGAAATCATCAGAGGCCCCAGAGGTGACTTGTCACTCCCCTTTCCTCCCAAAGGGGCACAGAGCCCAGGGCCATGTTAACTCTGAGACTGCATTACCCTTGGCCACATGGCCTTGGAGTGTGCAGGGACACACAACCCAAGCTCTATGTACCCCCAGACCCGGGAGAGGCAGTGTGCCTCACTGGAAAGCACCCTGGATTTGGACCAGAGCTTATCTGCCATGTACTAGCTGTGTGGCCCTGGGGTGGGTTCTTAACACCTCTGGGGCTTACTTTCCTCCTCTATAAAGCAAGCAGGTTAGCCTAGGTTAGACTAGAATCTAGTCGCTAGTGATCACTAGGATTCCTTTTAGTAGAATTGGAAAGAAGTCAGCATTTGCTCAGAATTCACCAAGTCCCTCCCCAGAGAAGACTCCGTGGTTCACCTTACACTTTCTCCCATTGGTGTTAACTCTCTTCTTTGGGCAAGATGTCTGGTTGGCGAGGTTGGAGTGCAGATTTAACAATAACTAACAGTATTATAATATAACACAATATAATAATAATTTGATGAATCGTTCAACAATGTGAAGCTCTGTGGTGTAATTCCTAGTCAATGTGACTTGTTTCAATAAGCCAGCAGGGAGAGGAGGGGGAGGGAGGGTCCAGAGCCAGTCCCTGGGACCTCAGTGTCCCCAACCCAGTGCTTACTATCAGATGCGATTGTGTATTGTTCTAACTCAGGCGCTTAGCTCAGAATGTGAGCTGCAATGTGTCCCTGGCTAGGCAGCTGTGTGACCCTGGGCAAGTCACTTTCTCAATATCTGGCCCTCTCTAAGGTTTTAAGTTATGGATAAGTTGCTGATCTGCCTCAATGAAGGGAGTTTTCGCACTGGGAAGTGAGCCCAAATTGATGAAATCACAGGCCTGCCTGCTCCTCTTCACGTAGGTCCCCCAGTTCCAGAAGTGGAGAGATACCCAACCCAATGGGATAAAATTACAACCTGTCCCCTTCCCAACTTTCACTGTACAGATGAGAAAACAGACCCAGCTGGCCTTTGGCCTTTGCCTCCATGATACTCACAAAGAATGCTCCCCAAAATGGGTACCAAGACTTCATCGCAACCAGGTGGAGATTTTTCACAGCAGTTGCCAGGTAGATCCCTACGGTGATATGGAGCAAGGCATTCACAATCCGAAAGACCTGGGGGCAAAGAATGGGACCGTCAGCGCAGGGAGAGAAGGTCCATTTGCAAGGGGGCTAGGGACACAGTGCAGCACACGTTGTGAGCCAGGCTCCTGAGTTACAATGATACTCAATCACGCCTGCTGGTAAGCACTGGGTTGGGGACACTGAGGTCCCAGGGACTGGCTCTGGACCCTCACTCCCCCTCCTCTCCCTGCTGGCTTATTGAAACAAGTCACATTGACTAGGAATACATGTAGCAGATTGGATCTCCTGCTAATCTTCCATGCCACACCCCCCCTAAATTCACAGGATACAAGCAGCTTCATGGAGCTAAGAGTAAAGGACTTGGGATCTGGAATCCAAGAAGTTGCTTTACAACCTGTAGTCTGGGAGAGGGGTCTGGAGCATTGAGATGTTGAGTACTTAGCCCAGGGTCACCCAGCCCACACGTGTCTGAGGTAGGACTTGAATCCAGATCTTCCTGACTTTGAGGCTGCCTCTTATCCACTCTCCAGCACCACCTCTCTGCGCATTACAGATGAGAAATGGTAATTACTACCACTCAATGATTAGATGGCCCAGAGGTCATATAGTCAGTTTATTACTAACTCTGGGGTGGGAGATAGGCTCACCTGAAGCTTTTCTGTTTCAGCCTCTACCACGCTTCCCAGTCTTTTAATTACCAGACTGATTGGGGATGGAGGTGGGGAGTGAGACTGGAAGGGATCTCAGCACCCACTTCTTCCAGTTCCTACCTGAGAAGGAGCCCTGTTGATAATGTCCTGACGAGTGTTTAAGGAAGATCGGAAGAGCCCGTGGCCTCTATAAGCAGCCCGGCCTGTAGCTAGACAACTCTCATTGTTAGGGGGTTTTTCTTCACTTCCAGCCCACATCTGGCCCCTTGCATTGGCTCTGCCCTCTGGGGCCAAGCCGCTGAGGATGCTCTTTCTGGAGGACAGCTCTCCTTTCCCCATAAGCTGGGTTCTAGTTGTTTTTTTGGTAGGGATCCCTTTGTCAGGGTCCCTTTCACTCTGATGAAACCTACTGACCCCTTCTAGGAGTAATATTTTTAAATGCATAAAATCAAAGACATGGGATGGTAAAGAAAACCAATTATAGCAAAATGCAGTGATTGATTTTTTTCTTAAAGCCAAGTTTGTGGAATCATCACCAACAGAAAACAAAACTTACTCCCAGCTTTGTGAGAGGCCCTGCCTTCCTCCAGATTCCTCGGTGTCTGTCTTCCTGAAGGAAGAATCCAGAGTGTGGAGTCTCCCCGATCCAGTCCTGAACTGGAGCTTTCTGTTTTGGACGCACCATGCTAGTGGGTACCACCAGGCACCCAACTTGACCAGTAACTATGTACACTCTCTCTCCGGCAGCTGCCATTGCCCTGGTGCCAAGGATGGTGCTCTGCCCTGGGGAAGAAATAGAGTTAGTGTTAGTTATCTTTCTACGGTCCAGGAGCACATGTAGGATGTGGGGGAAGCACTTTATAGAGCTGCTATCAGAGTTTTGTTGTTTTATGTCAAGAGCTGTAGGAAGAACCTCCAACTCTAAAAGCAGTTTGTGCCCTTGCCAGGGGTGTGTGTGTGTGTGTGTGTGTGCGCGCTCGAGGTCAACTCCAACTCGACTCGCTCTACTCCTGACCCTGCTCAGTTGCTGGGGGGAAATCTGGCAGAAAGGATCTTGGACGGCAATTTCAGCAGAAATAATGCCTCACAGAGATCATAGCCTGTAGGGGGCTTCTAGAAATGTGTGTCTTCCATATGGGAGAAGCTGCCCCTCATTCTAGGGGGAAAGTGGGAAAAGTGGGAACTCCATTCTGAGAAAGGGAAGACCCCACTGCTAAAACAAGTCTCACTCAAGGTTGCTCAACCGTGGCCCAGCAAGGCCACTAACCACTCAGTCAGTTTGCAGCAACGTTGCAAATAATCTTCGGCCCACCGTGGGCGAGAATGGGAGTCAGCTGAGTATGGGGTCAGAAGACTGCTTTTGTTAGCGGGCTCTTCTGTGGGAGGGGACCGGACAACCCTGGTAAGGCTTTACACTCTCTGGATGGGCTAGTTTGGGGAGCCACATTTTGAAGCTTCTGGCCCCCCCACCACAGACAAGTGTCTTTATTCGTTGATGGTTTAGAGGTAGCAAGACATCGGAGAGACAGCCCCAAGCCCCCAGCTCCTCGCTATGCCTGGTTTTTCAGTTGTCTCTGACTCTTTGTGACCACATTTAGGGTTTTCTTGGCAAAGATACTGGTTTGCCATTTCCTTCTCCAGCTTATTTTACAGATGAGGAAACTGAGGCAAACAGGGTAAAGTGACTCTCGAAGGGTCGCACAGCTACTAAGTGTCTGAGGCTGGATTTGAACTCATGAAGATGAATCTTCCCAATTCCAAGCCCAAGCACTCTGTTCGCTATGACGCCACCTGGCTTCCTAAAGCAAATAAGCGACTTCCTTGCGCTGCTTGGAGAATGTCTTTTGAGAAGCATCGTGGGGCATGCAGGTCTTGCACTGAGGAAGCCTTGGGTTCAAAATCCAACTCTGATACCTTATTATAGACATGGAAATAATAACTAACCTCTCTGAATTGCATTTTCCTTATCTGTAAAATGGAGATAATATTACCAGGGAGATACTATTTATTTCATAGGGAGGTGTAATGAGGTTCAAGGATTAATCTTGTAAAGTGTTTTGAAACATTATTTTTATTTCAAGTGTGGGGATAAGAATTATAGAATTTGAACTGGAAGAGACCATGGAGATCTAGTCCAGCCCCTTCATTGAACAGATGAGGAAACTGAGGCCAGTAGAGGTGAAATGATTGGCCCAAGGTCTCAGGTAAGTGGATGGCCGAGTCAGGATTCGAATCCAGACCTCTTGTGGCTCAGATCTCTTCATTGTACCACGAAGCAGATTGGTTTGTCTGTGGGCACAGGCCTTTCAGGAGATAGTAGGAGATAGAGATAGTAGGATGGCTCATCAAGGCCAGGAAAATGAGTGTGCAAGATGCGGAATGGACAGAGGGACTTTGATCTCAGGAGGAAGGAAGGAGGATGGGATTGGGATCGAGGGTAAGCATTCTCTGGGCCTGCTCCAGGTCTCAGCATCTCCCTTGGGCAGGCGTAGCTCACCCCACTGGGGCATCATGGAGGGCGCATCAGGCTGGGACGTCAGGCCAGTTTTGAGTCTACTCTTGCTGGCCGTGTGACCTGAGGCATGTCAACTCATCTCCGGAGTCTCAGTTTGTTTATCCCTGCCAGCCCGGGGCTGCTGGGAGGACCAAAGCCCTTTGCAAATGTGATGTCACCTCCCATTATCCATTGATTCTGGTTCAGGAATGCCCCTTCAACCAATATTCAAGCCACTCCAGCATCTTTGCCAAGAAAACCCCAGTGGGGCCCCGAAGAGCCAGACCTGACTGAACCACAAAGATGTCCCTCATGTCTGTCCTCTTCTCTCTGTTAACACAGCAACCAGCCTAGGACAGACCTCCTTACCTCTCATACAGACTACTGCAGTAGTCTTATTTTTTTTAACAGACTAGTTCTCCCTCTCACCAGGCTAGAGGCTACCCACAGGCCTGGTCCCACTTTGATCTGCAGATGAGCTTGACTTGAAGGGTTCACCCCTTCTTAGCAACCTGGCTTCACCCCACCCCCACATTAATAACAAACGTAGTGCAGACACCAATCGATTCCGTCCACTTTAGCTCAGAAGTGCAACCTAAAGTTCCAGAGATCCAGCCTTGGTCTCCCCAGTAGAGGGATTAGAGGCATGGCCCCCCCACCCCTGGTGCCTTCTGTTTGGTTTCCGTGCCTCATATCCCTCCCCTCTAATTTATCCTTATGGCAGCTGCCAAAGTTATTTTCCTAAAGTATAGTTCTCCCATGTTCAATAAAGTCCAATGAATCCCTGTTGATGCTAGGAATAAATGTCATTTCATCTTTATTTTATCCTTTAAAAATGAGTATTTTTGCAAAATTTTTACAATGTGCATACTTATTTGTACAGTAGAACATCCGTACAATTTTAAATAAGTGCATATACACTTGGGAGGGTGTGGTTCATGCTTCAAGATTTTTTGCTGATAGAGATGCACGATCAAAAAAGTTTGGAGACCCCTAACTTCAGTGGACTTGATGAATGACCTTGGACCAGTCACTCCCTCTCTTCCGGTCTGTAAAATGAAGGGCTTTGCCTAAACTAGGTAAGCTTTCTTCCAGCTCTGCCCTTCTGTGGTCTGAGGTCTCACAGGGCTCTAACACCTTGTGTCCTGTGACCCAGGGCCCTCCCGGCTCTGCCAGTCCATGAGAACGTACGAGATTTGGAAAGGGCTACTCACTCTGCCTTTGGCTGGATCTGCTCTCAGTTGGCTTTCTGCCCCCTCCTCTTGCCTGCTGGAAACGAAACAGCAAGCTCTCTGGGTCAGACTTTAGATCCTCATCCACGCTCACTTCTGTTTCTTGTTCCTGACCTGCCTTCCCCTGTAATTGCGGGTGCTGTACCAAAGTCCCCTTTCGCATAAATTACGGCTCTAGGTGATGCAGCAGCCCCACTTCTGCCTCTTTCCTTACTCAGGCGGCTTCCTATCGCTACAGCAGGATGGATGGGGAGGGTGCCTTGATTGTAGGTTCCTTGAGGGTTGCAGGGTAGGTTGAGGTAGGATTGAGGGGAGGAACTAGGGAATACTAGGACCTTATAGACTGGTGATGTCCTATTTCTTTTTATTTGCTTTTTAATTTCTTCAATTTCTTTTTCTTCTCTTAATGGTATAGTGGCATTTCTAATACACTATTGAATAAAAGTGGTGATAGTGGGCATGCTTGCCTCACCCTTGATCTTATTGGAAAGACTTATGCTTTCTGATTCTTTTTAATTAAAAAAAAATTTAAAAATAAAATATCCTTTAAAAATTTTATTTTTAATTTATTTTCTGTTAGAATGTAGGTCCCTTCCCAGCTCTTAGCAAAATATGCAATGGTTGCTTAAGTAATAGTCCACTTCTTTTTATACTTTATGGTTTCCAAAGCGTGTGTGGTGGTTAATACAGGCATATACTCCAATACCCACCTCACAGATGAGAAAGCTGAGGTTTGGAGTCACATAACTATTAATATTAGAATTAGGACTTGAACTCAGGTCTTCTGATTTCAAGTTGTACGTTCTTTCTGACCTGCTTCCTGACTAGTGCCTAGGATGACATTTATTGATTTATTGAATGTGGAATATCTGTCCCTGGCTCCATTTCTGTCATATACACTGCCTCTACTACCTTTACCCCTCATCGTGTAGGAGCCTAGATTCGGATGTAGAGTCAAAGGTTAGCTAGTCTGATCCTCTCATTTTACAGATGAGGAGCCTGAGGTCAAATGGGTAGAAAATAGCAGAACTAGGATTTGAACCCAGCTCTCTGACATTAACACCAGCTCTTCTTCCATTCACGCCAGCATGACTGAAGACTGTCGAGGTCCTTGTGACCAAGGCCCTTTTCAACCCCTCTGATGAAAGCAGTGATGAGGAGGTGGCCGGAGGCCTGAGCACTGTCACCAGCTCATTTAGGCATCTCCCTGGGTCCCTCTGTCCATCCAGAAGAAAATGCCTTTGTCGGAGATGGTGATGGAGGAGGGAATTTAGTGAGTCCCCAGCGAGGACCTCTACGTCCAGCGGGGCTAGCTGGCTGCATCTGAACTTCCTGTCCGTGAGCTGGCCGCAGTTGAAGCGACTGATGCCAAAAAAGCATGTATCTCCTAGTGGCTGGTTTATTTTCTGTTATACAGTAATCTCCTGGGGCAGAGACTGTGACTTTTGCTTCCATGGAAAGGAGACCATTGCATGCTGGAAGGGATAGAACCCTCAGAGACCAGCCCGCCAGCCCTGTCATTTTTGGATGGGGAAATTGATGTTCTGAGAAAAGACGTGCTTCTTGGTGGCTGGGGCAGGCCGCAGCAGTGTGAGGGGCTCTGTTATTGTCATAAGTGGGATCAATAACTTAGTGTCTTGAAATAGCATTAGTCTTCAGACTGGAGGGATTTTAAGACCCTTTATATTTTTCCATTTGTTTTCTTCTCTAGCTGTTATAATTTAAAAAAAAATTTTCCTACCTTAATGGGATGTTTAAAAGACACTCCTTTTTCACATACGTCTTGTCTTTAAAAAAAAGATGTAGGCTAGTAATAATAATAAGAGTAGCTAACATATAGCACCTACTATGTGCCTGGCCTACTAAGCTAAACACTTTATAAAGATCATCTCATTTGATCCTCAAAACATCCCTGGGAGGTAGGCGCTGTTATTATTCCCATTTTACAGATGAAGAAACTGAGGTCGTCAGTGGTCAAGTGACTTACCCAAGGCACATAGCCAGTGAGTATCAGGCTGGATTTGATTCACATCTTCCTGATTCCAGGCCCTGTGCTCTGTTCACTGCACCACCTTGTTAGCACCCTCTCCAGAATCTAGTAAAACCAAAGACCACTGCCAGAAAGGCAAGTCAGTTGTTCTAGCTGCTGGCCAATGGCTGAAGAGAATTGGGTGTTTTTTTTGGGGGGGGGTTTAGGTAATTGGGGTTAAGTGACTTGCCCAGGGTCACACAACTAGTAAGTGTCAAGTATTTGGTCTGAGGTCAGATTTGAACCCAGGTCCTCCTGACTTCAGGGCCAGTGCTCTATCCACTGCACCACCTAGCTGCCCCTCCTAGATGGCCTGGAGAATGGAGCACTGGACTGGGAGCCAGGAAGATCTGAGTTCAAATTTGGCCCCAGGCCAGACAAAACAAGTGATTTGCTCCAGGCATGTAGGTAGTAAGCAGTGGTCAGAGACAGGTTTTGAATCTCAGGCCTCTGATTCCAGAGGTAGTGTTCTTTTTGCCTTTTATTAAAATTGCATTTTTTTCCAATTAACAAGTGTTTTATTTTCTCCTTGGAACAAATAAGCATAGTCAGGCCAAACTAATTCCTGTTCTAGTGTAGGTGGAAGAGACCGGACTGGAAGGGACCTCGAGATCACGTGTCCAACCTGCCATTTTACACCTAGGGAAACTGAGTCACAGGGTGGGACTGTGTCCCAGATATCTTGACTCCCAAATCCAGTATTCCCTGTTTTATGTCTTCCATAAAATCATCAAATCCATCCCAGGGTGAGTCCCATGTCAGCAATATGACGTGGAAAGGACTGCCTTTTAGTTGATGGGCTCCCTCTCCTTGGAGGCTAGGAGCTTGTCAGGTATGTGATAGTGGGGGCTGTTTTTGTCTTTGGGATGGGCTGGACCACCGTTGAGATCCCTCCAACTCTCAAATTTTGTGATTGGGTGAAATCCATTCTCTTTCCCTTTCCTTCCTGTGCCCCTTCCTCCCCTTGTCTGTCAGGCTCACCATCTGGGATTAAGCTTCCCGATAGGATTTGCAGGAATTCCAGCTTTAGAGAACACCAGGGTCTTTTCTTCCTCCTGGACCACTGAGACCCCCTCCCTAGGAGTGCCAGGCAGCCTAACCGCTAAGGGGAGGCCCCTGGCCAGCTAGTAGTGAGCTCTCCTTTCGGCTGGTTCCCTGGCCCAGCCCAGCCCAGTTGAGCCCAGATGAAGTGACTTCAGTGGGGCCTCCGGGATCAGAACCAGTGCGGCTGTTCCACTGCCGGCCAGGCCAGTCTGCTGGAGGAAGTGTGGGACCAGGGAAAGAGGGATGGATTTTGGAGGTAGCTTGTGGAGAGAAGGAGGGAAGTTTGCACCAGATTATCTCCATAGTCGCTTCCAGCCTTATAAATCATAAGCTGAAGCTCCTGGACAAATGGAGAGGCCAGATGTGCCAGGGCCTCTGTCCCTAGAGGTCACTGAGAAGGTCCCTTCTCTTCTTTCTTTTATAGGAGGACCAGAGGAGGGAGAGTCTCCATGGTGGTCTGTGGAGAGAAAGCAGAGGGCCAGGGTCAGGGAGCTGGGCTAGGAGCTTCTTGCAGGATAGTTGAAGAGGCCCATAGCTCTTGAGTAACCCTAAGTAGCCACGTGGCTACAATCCAAGGTCGTATCCTGCTGTATGTCAAGTTTACAGATGAGGCCACTTGCCTGCAAGGCCAGAGAGGCTGGGAGGCTGACCGGGGCAGTGCTGAGGGGAATGACCTATGAGCTGGTGTTGACTTTTGACCTTTATGTGCCATTAGAGAGGCCCATAAAAGGAGAGGGTGGTTGGAACAGCATTTAGAAGGAAGACTGGGAGGACAGGGGAGGAAGAGAAAGGGAAGAATGAGGGAGAGGTATTGTACTGATGGCTAAATGGTGATCAAGGGCAGGAAGGCCTGGGCGTTGATTCTCTTGGCTCCCAAGACATCAAGCTGGATCATAACTCTTCTTCTGTCCCCTCTCCAGACCCTGCTTGGTGGGACATGCGGCAACATCCTAAGGCCTACTGACTAGTGACCTGGGCTGGGCAAAGGGAGGCGAGATACAGAGGGAAACACCATAATGAAGGAGGAAATAGAGCTGTTGCTTAGAGATAAAGGAAAGGAGAACCCAGAGGGAGGAGGTTTGAATGGAAAGTGTTCTGTGGAAACTTCAAGGCTTAATGCTGGCGTATGATGGTAGCTGGTGGGGTGTTGTTGTAGGAGGTCAGTAGGCCCGAGGAATTGGGGGCCAGACAAAGGGATGGCTTAGGGATGGGTGGGATGCACTGAGGTCTTTGCATATTGGAACAATCAGGGTGGCAGGCCTTGCTGACAAATCACACAGCCTCCTTGGGCCCTTGGTTTCTTCATCTCTGAAGTCTGGGTCGACAAGATGGCTTTCAAAGTCCCTTCTGGCTCCTGGTCTGTGATGTTATGGAGGACTGATGTCATAGCTTTTCAGGAGGCGAGCTGCGTTAGGTGGAGGGCGGTCTCTGCTCCCACGACTAAACTGGGACAATAGAGCGTCTTGGATCTGTCTTGGAAAATCTTATCTCTGTTACCCCAGGATCCCAGCTTTCTGGGGTAGGGAGAAGAGGAATGTCCAGGCTGGACCATCCAGAGCTGACAGAAGATGGGGGAGAGAAGTTGGAAGAAGAAAGGGAAGAGGAAGAGGAGAGGGGGTCTTTGCTCAAACTCATCAATCAGGACACTTTCTTTGGGCCCCAGTGACCCCTCCCTACACATATCCCTCCCCCATCTTGTTTATCCAAATAATTCTAATCACAATTGGGAGTCTGAGCCACACAGTTTATTTCCGATCGTTGATACAGTCACATGCAGACATAGACAGACACCCACAGTATCTGAGCATCAGTAACCACCCAGGCACTTACCAGTAGGCAGAGCTACCTTGCAAGGGGCCCCAGCCCAGCTCCCTGACTCTGGCCCTGCCCTTTCTCTCCACGGAGCATTCTGGCTTCTCTCCCACCCTGAGGCTTTACAGGAAGCAGAGAAGGAAGCTTCTCAGCCACCTGTGGGGACGGAGGCCCCTAGGGCTTCTGGCCTCTCCGTTT